TATAAATTTCACATAATAGATATATTGAAAACTTTCTTTAAAACATTCAAAAAATATTTTGTTTCACTCAACTGGTGGATTAGTTATAAAAAAATGATGTCTTCTCAATGATGTCTTACGAATTAATACTTTTTGTCATAATAAATAGTTAACAAATCACGATTATTGTTATAAATAAATTAAATTTACATATAAATGAAAAAAAAAAAAAAACAAAAATTTATAAAACATGATTTAACAAAAATATGTAAAATAGACCTCAACAACAAATTTAACAACAACAAATGATTTTTAATTATACAAAAACGTTTTCTGTCGTATATAAATAAGTATATTTATATACATAAACATATTTATTTATATTTTATATGAGTATCCAAGTATAAGTTTATTTGAAAACCTGAAAATTGTGTTAAACAGAATAACATTAACAATAACACAGGAGACATTAAATTGAATTAAAAGAAAGAAAACTTCTGTTTAAACTAAACATTTTCGTTTGTTATCTCATTAATAAATTTTGATTGAAACCCATTAATAAAACATTTTTAAATAATTTTTTTCTTAAAAGACAAAACAGTTTCTAGTATTTTGAAGTACTTATGAAAAAAAAAAAAAAATTCTTAGTTTATTATAATATAACTACCTAGATCTAGTCACAATAACAAAAAAAAATTTAATAAAAAAATTCCAAACGTTTTTTCATCGTTGACGTGGTTAAAGCAGAATGATATAATTAAAAATTTTAAATAATAATTCTACGTTTTCGACAATCTAAATTTATACATAAATATATTTACAACTATAAGAGTACATATGTCATAAAATAACCATAATTTAAATAATTAATAACTTACCTTGATTTTACATATATATATATAAAAATCTGAAACAATTTTTTTTTATTTAAAAATGACTACATTAAAAATCAAAAAAATATTATGTCTCGTAAATGTAATTTTTTTTTCTTTTCTATTAAATATATTAATAATAAATAATTAAATAAGTATTTTGACGTAGGTGTAAAAAATAATTGTGAATCAAGTCCATTTAAAAACAAAATTAAACGTATTTGTTGTTTTTTAACCGATATAATTAACATTTTGTACTAATTTATGCCATTTCATGACATTCGCAAAACAAATTTCTTTTTTTTTTTTTTTGAACAAAATAAAAACTTTAAGCAATTCGACACGATTTCTAAAGCAAAAAAAAAAAAAAATTTGCGAGTGTAAAAGGAAATAATTACGATTAATAATAATGTCAGACATTAAGAAACATTAAAAAAAAAAATTTTCACAATTTACCTTTAATAAAAAAAAAAAAAAAATGAACGAGTTATTAATTATTTCATTTTAATTTAATAGGATATCATGAACAACAATTTATTTTTTTAAATAAAATTACACTTTTTCGAGACATAATATATATATAAAACAATTTACTTTAATAAACCATATGGCAGTTTGTAAGTAATAAATTTTTCCCGGTTTGTTTTATTATAAAAATATTGAAAAGGAGCAGAATCCAGTCAATGACGTCATAAATTATCGATTTACGTTTTTGAAAATTTTATCAAGTCAAGTCAAAAAAAAACAAATAATATTGTTAAACGGCGTTTTTCAAATCATTTTTTTTTCTTTTTAAATAATAGATTCGATGATTAAAAAATATATTGAATGCATCATAAAATTAAAAAGCGTTTTGAACAAAAAAAAAAAAAAATATTTTTAAAAAAATTAGCTCAAATACAGGAGGTCACTGAACAATTGAACCAATTGAAAGCTTATTTTTACATAAAATTATTTTTAATTTCATCATATATATGTATATACACATGCAATTTTTTATATGCATCATAAATTCCTTTTTTTTGTTTAATTATTGTTTAAAAAGATGTTATATTTCATGACATCTTTAAAATATTACACCTAACAGCCCAGAATAAAAATTGATTTTAGAAAAACAGATATTTTGTAAGGGTGAGTTTGAATTTGTATTGCAAAATCAACATTTTAAAATTATATATTCTGTTATATGATTCTAAATATCAATCATACTTTATAACATATAATTAAGTCAACTAAAAATTAGTCTCAAAAAAAAAAAAAGTTTAAACACTTTTGAATATTAATATTGGAAAACTACATACTGACGCGTACAAGATTTGGCAAAAAATCTTTCCTTTTTTTTTTTTTTATTACATGTTCAAATATTTAATGATTCACTTTGAGATTAAATTTTGAGAGTAGATCATATATTTTATCATGTATGTTTCGTAATTTAAAATAAATGAAATCAATCATTTGATTTTACAATAACTCTTACAATACCCATCCTCATAGTTTTAAAAAAAAAAAGAAATTCATGTGCATGTAATTAAATGTAATAAAACTTAATAAGTTAAAAAAAGACTTACTTTTCATCACAACATTAAGATTACGTAGTTTAAGTCAATTATTTTTTTAAAATGTTTTAAAAATCACATATTCTCAATTAACATTTGATTCATACAAATGCGGTTAGGAAAATCCAGGAGTATAAACGTAATTTTTTGTAGCGGTTCAAATGCTGCCAACTATCGAATAAAAATTTGAATGTCGTTTTAAAAAAAACAAAAGAACTCTTTATAATACAAACTGATAATAATGAATTAATATTTAAAACTTAACATTAAATTAAATTTAACTTTTTTTCCTTATTTCTTCTGATGAATACTACAATGCCATTTTTTTTTTATTCTTAAACATAATTTACTTAAATTTGTTCACAATAATATTTTAAATAAGTTCTGGTTATCACTTTAACGGATTAAAAAAAAAGATGCACGTCTACTTAGGATAGGAAAAATAAACGTAAAAACAATCTATTAAATGCTAATAAAAACTAAAAATATTTCTCTGCAGTTCATATTCAAACGACATTAAATTTTATCTCCATTTTATCAGGCTGAGACATGTAGGTTCGTTTTCAAGGTTGAATATAAATGGCATATAAAAGAAAATAGAACTGATTAAAATGTTGCTTAACTAGAATAACGTTTTTATTAAAATAAAAATATAAAATTATTGCCAATAACTTATTATAATTAACTTAACTTACCATTATTTTATTTTTAAATTAAAATAATAATTAAAAGAAAGTTTATAATTAAATTTTTAAAAAAACCGTTATTAAAATTAATCAATTTTTTTTTTTTTTTTTGCAATTAACTTATTAAAAACGTGATGTAAAAAAAAAAAAAAATCAAATAGATTCCAAGTTTAATAATATCGTATTACAAAAAAAAAATAAGGATTTTTAAGAAAAATTTTAAAAATTAATAAAAAAATCTTAAATTTATTTACAATAAGTTCTGTGCAGACTAAATAAAAAATCAAACATAAAAATTATACTTAATGACAATAGACGACTTTCATATTTAATCATAGATAGTCCCGTACAAATATATATGCATATATGAAAATAATGCTTATTCTTTAATTCAAATGAATAATTATCATTTATTAATTTATAAATTTCACTACTGTTTTTTGCTTTAGCGATCATCATATTCAGGTGATGTCGGAGAATACGTGGGTGAAGTAGGTGAATAACTCGGAGGGCCTGTGGGAGAGTATGTTGGAGAACTGGCTGAATAATCTGGAGAAGTTGGAGTGTAAGTAGGTGATGTGGGAGAGTACTTAGAACTTGAAGGAGAATATTGGGGACTTGCTGGAGAATAAGAAAGGGAAGTAGGGGAATATTTAGGTGAAGTGGGCGAATATCTGGTGGAAGCACCCGGAGTGTGACTCGGAGAAGATGGTGAATAACTAGGACTTGTAGGAGAGTATGTTGGCGATGTGGGGGAATATTGAGGTGAAGTAGGAGTGTACTGTGGCGAAACACTTGCATAACTCGGGGAAGTAGGAGAATAACTTGGACTGGTTGGAGAATATTTCGGCGATCCTGGAGAGTAACTGGGACTGGCAGGTGAATATCTAGGACTGCTATATAAACTAGGTGAAGTAGGTGAAAAGCTTGGACTTGCAGGAGTGTAGTTAGGCGAGCTTGGTGAGTAACTAGGCGAAGTTGGAGAATAACTGGGAGACGTTCGAGAATAAGATGGAGATGTAGGTGAATAACTCGGGGATGTTGGAGAATACGATGGAGACGTAGGGGAATAACTCGGAGATGTTGGAGAATAAGAAGGCGAAGTGGGAGAATAACTGGGAGAAGTAGGCGAATAAGAAGGTGAAGTAGGAGAATAACTGGGAGATGTAGGCGAATAAGAAGGTGAAGTAGGAGAGTAACTTGGAGATGTTGGAGAATAACTGGGAGATGTGGGAGAGTAGCTAGGAGACGTGGGAGAATAACTTGGAGATGTAGGGGAATAACTCGGTGAATTAGGCGAATAATTAGGTGACGAAGGAGAATATGATGGAGATGTAGGAGAGTAATTTGAACTGGTCGGAGTCATACTAGGAGAAGTTGGTGCAAAAGCGGGGCTGGATGGAGAGTAGCTTGGAGACATGCCCCCGCCAGGACTAGGTACGTATGGACTATTAGATGGACCAGGTGAACTTGGACTTCCTGGTTGAGGAGACCACGGACTGTAGCCAGGCGAAAGCCCGCTGGCATCACTGGAACCAGACGGCGAAAAACTAGGTCCTCCCGGCGTCATTCCACTACCTGCATGTGGGGACCAAGCACTTACATATGCAGGGGTTTCTCCTTGATTCCAAGGTGTCATTTGAGGACTCATAGACGGTGTAACAGCATTTCCAAACATCATTCCTACGCTTGACATCATACCGTGACCAATAGACATGGGAATTTCAATACCCGCTTTACATTTGTCTTTATCAAGCATGAGATCAAAACATCCTAAAAAAAAAAAATATATATGTATAATTAAATTTACAATTAAATAATTTTGGCAATCACAAAAAGTAAAATTATACCAGTTCCCATTCGAGGTAGTTGTCCCATGATAATATTTTCCGAAACTCCTCTCATAGGATCTAATTCAGCGTGGGAAGCTGCATCCATAAGAACATCAACAGTTTCTTCAAAGGAACACCTCATCAATGCTCCTGTATCTTGTCGATTAATTCCATGACGAGTAATTGCCATCAAGTGACCCTTTGCTGTCATGACGTCACATAAAAGTGCAAGATGACGATAATTTACGTAGAGCCCGTAAAACTGAAGAACTTGATTCATTTCTTTTTCCACAGATTTTCGTACTGCTTCTATACCCAATACCTAAAACAATGCCCGTCATGCATATAGACACTTTTTTTTTTTTTTTTTAATTTTTTATTAAAAATTTCTAATTTATAATTCACTTACGGAGAATATTTCACAAATATCATTAGAATATGTTCTAACCGGATCCACGTCTCTTTCGCTAAGGACTTTCATTAAACTTGTTCCATCAGTTTCAAGCAACCATTCCGCGATTGCCTTGAATTCACCTGTTTCGGTTATTACAATTCTTTTTTTTGAATCATTTTGAGGCAAGTGCATATAAACTTTGCCAATTGCTTCGATTCCCTGCAAAGTCATATCAGATAACATATTGGCTTCTATGCACCTTAAAAACATATCATCTTCCATTTTATCTTGATTTTCTTCTTCATCTGTGACCTTCTCGTCGTTATTCATGATTCTTAATCTAAGCACTAATTTTTCAGCATTATCATCATTGAAAATACAATTTAAATCATCTCCAAAACCAGCATTTATTTTTTCCGCAATTTGTTCCATTGTTAATTTTTTATCTTTCCAGGAAAAGAAAAAAAAATAAAAACAAGCACGCATTAAATAGAGAAGTAGACCAAAAAAAAAAAAAAGGTCGGAGTGTAAAACTGAAAATACTTACCAGTCATTCTTTTTCTATCAAGTTCTATTCTTAGAAGCCAGGGCGATATTCTTGTGGGATCAAAATCAGGCATCTCGTAATAAACTGTAACAAATTCTTGATCCTCTTCAATGACAGTGTTTTGTGGATCGGGATCGTAGTATATTGCCGTGTTTGCAGTTACTTTTCGTAATGTAGTGTGTTCTAAACGGCACAAAACGTTTTTTGCTTTTTCAGCATCTCTAGCGGCTGCACCAGTAAGGAAAACAGTCAAAGAGGGAGCTTTAGGCTTTTTACTGATGTTAATTATTTCTTTTAACCTAGGTACACCAAGGGTTACGTTTTTCGAAGAAACCCCAGCAAAGTGGAAAGTATTTAAAGTCATTTGTGTGGCTGGTTCACCAAGTGATTGAGCAGCTAAAGCTCCTACCATTTCTCCCGGAGCGCATTGTGCCTGCTGGAATCTAGTTTCGATTTCTCCAATTAACCATTCAAAGGCTTCGGTAGATAATCTCATATCTTCAGATACACATTTAGTACACAAAGTAGACCGAACTAGGCATTGAAATAAAAGAGTGGCATTTTCATTGGCTTGCTTACTTAAATGATCTTCTCCGGCAACTATAACGCACTTTTGTAGCAAATCTCGAACACCTTCAATTACTCTGAGAGGACTTAAGTCAGTTGGAGCTCGCTTATTAATATGGAAAATCTTTTGTACATTCCAAATCATTCTTTGCAAGTTACAGGGCAATACTACTTTATTTTCACCACTCGGAAATATTTGCCTAAGAGCTTCACGATCTTTCTGCAACTGATCCCATTCTTTTTCAAGGTATGATATCACTTCTCCCGAACCCATTAACTCTTTAAGTATATTTTCATTAAATATTCTTCTTAAATATCTTTCGTTCGTCGCATCAAAGCGGAAACGTTTTTCAAACGCTTTATTAGACAATTTAATTGTAGGTAATGTCTGAAATTCTACAGTTTCACCACATAAACCGTCTTCTCCATATCGTAACTGAATCAGCTGACCGACAGAATTACGAACAGTTCCATCATAATGAACCATAACAGATTCCATAGCTTTTATTAACCTACGCTGAATATATCCAGTTTCAGCAGTTTTTACAGCTGTATCGATTAAACCTTCACGACCTCCCATGGCGTGAAAAAAAAACTCTGAAGGAGTCAATCCAGCCAAATACGAATTTTCTACAAAACCTCTAGATTCGGGACCATAATCATCTTTTATAAAATGTGGTAGAGTTCTCTTCCTGAAACCGAACGGTATTCGTTTCCCTTCTACGTTTTGCTGACCAACACAAGCAATAACCTGCGAAATGTTAATATTTGATCCTTTGGATCCTGACACCACCATGGCTTTTAAATTGTTGTACTCAGTTAAAGATTTTTTGGCAGAACCTCCAGTTTTGTCTCGAGCATCGTTCAAAATTCTGTTCACTTGATTTTCAAAAGTTTGCCGTAAAGTATTACCAGGAGTAGGTTCCAGTTCCATATTGTGAGCTTTTTGAATTACTTCTATGACGTCTTCTTTAGCTTTTTTTATAGCTTTCTGGATTTCCAAGTACGTTTGAGGATCAGCGATTGTATCACCAATACCTAAATTAAAGAGAAAGTAAAGCCATTTAATATAAGTTTGGCAAAAAAAAAAAAAAAATAAATAAATAATTAAAATTAACACAAATCAAATACCGATTGAGTGTCCTTCCAATAGAAGCCAATTATTAATAACTGTTTGGATATTTCCGTAAAACTGGCCACAAACTTCATGTCCTAATTCCAGCATACATATGTGAAGTAAAGAGCCGGCGGATGTTCCCAAAGTCTTTTGCACAAAATTCCCATAATAAGTTCTCCGTGCTCCACAACAACTTTAGTGTCACCCGGGGAAATCCACTTGTACGGACCATCATCTTCTTCATCAGGATGAGTGGAATGCGTTCGTATCATATTTACATTACCCGGAATTATCAATGAAAATACTTGCTTTCCGGTCCACAATGGTTTCGGTTTAAGTATAGCAGGTTGGGGCATTTTCCCATCCCAAATGGGCAAGAACATCAAAATATTCATCATTTGCTCCTGCAAATAAATTTTTTATTTTATTAGTTATTTTAATTCAATGATAAAATACATTTTTTTTTTTTTTTTTTTTTAACAAACTTTTTCCAAAAAAACATCTCTTTTTGTCATCTTTCTGACTGCAGTAAGTGTATCTTGCACTATACCCATAACCGGTTTATTTGCTTGAGGAGTTATAATTTGCCTGGGCGTGACATGAAGATTTTCCACTTCTGCTCTTGTTTCCATGGATTGAGGAACGTGAAGATTCATTTCATCACCATCGAAATCAGCATTATAAGGAGAAGTACAACTAAAAAAATTTAATTTCGATATTAAAATTTATTAAAAAATTTCAATTTCGGATGTACAGATGAATAAAAATACCTTAAATTCATACGAAATGTTGACCAAGGTAAAACTTTAACTCTGTGACCCATCATACTCATTTTGTGAAGTGTGGGTTGACGATTAAAAATTACTAAATCTCCATCTCGAATATGCCTTTCAACTTTATATCCACATTGAAGATGCAAATCACTAGGTCTTGGATGAAATCTCAAATCAATTCTTTCTCCATTATCCCTTATAATATATTTTGCTCCGGGATATTGTGAATTTCCTCTTCTGACCAGTTCTTGCATTTTATCAATATTAAAAGGAGTTATAATTTCTGGAAATGTAAGGTTTTGAGCAATCGATCTTGGTACTCCTACCTGATCAATTCTCAAATTTGGATCAGGTGTAATTACTGTTCGAGCTGAAAAGTCAACACGCTTTCCCATTAAATTGCCACGAATTCTTCCTTCTTTACCCTTTAATCTGGCTTTTAATGCTTTAAGAGGTTTGCCTGACTTTTGCATTGCTCTTGGCATTCCTGGCATGTCATTGTCCACAAGTGTGGCAACATGAAATTGCAACATTTTTATATTTTCAGATATTATATGTGCGGCAGCACCGGCTTGTTCATTACGAATTAATTCATTATTTGCTTTGATAATATCTGCTAACTTATGTGTTAAATCGTCTTGATTTCTAGCCGAACCATACATAACAACAGCAGGTCTGACACTCAGTGGAGGAACTGGCAGAACAGTTACTAGCATCCAATCCGGCCTAGCAAATTTAGGGTCCATACCCAAAATCAAACACTCTTCATCTGTTATGTGTTTTAATATTTCCCATACTCTTTCAGCACTTAATGCAATTTTTTTTTCTTGATTATCTTCATTTGTGTGTTTCCATTCAGCAGTGAGATCTAATCCAGTTCTTCTAATGTTAGGCTGATATCTTCCACAACCCCCATGACCACCTTTTTTATCTTTGCTGTTATCAGGATTATCAGCATTATCTTTGGTAATGTCCATTTCATCACCACCTTCACATATATTTTTTCCTTTACAAAGATCATATACAAAAGTTAATCTTTTTCTAGGTTGACCTCTAGATTTCGTCACAATTTCTTTAATTTTTGCATTATTCTAAAATTTAAAAAATTTCGATGTTTTACTAAGAATTTAAATTTTTAATTATCTCGAAAATGAATACAAACTTACCGGACTAACTAATAGTTTTGAGCAAAAAAAACAAACACAACGTAGTATTTTAATAGTTTTTGTTAAAAAACCAACATGAAAGACTGGTTTTGCTAAATCTATGTGCCCAAAATGACCTGGACACTCTGTCATGTTTCCCGCACAAGTCTGACATCGAGACATTCTGTCAACGACTCCTTGACGGGGATCCATAAGACCCCCAATTTTTGGGCGACCACCTTCATATGTTTCAGGATATTTGATCCCTCCATCAGTAACTGACATGCGACGCTACGAGTTAACCAGGAAAATTATATTAAATAAACATTACAAGGTTTTTACGGCAAACCCAATATAAAATGGAAGCATTTATATTAAATGAATAACGAGATAGCAAAATATTAAATTATTGATATACCTCTTTGTAATTTATGGAGCAATATAAGAAAAATACTATTGGTAAATATTAAGATGGATGCGGAATGGCATTATTGTAATTATAATGCAAAAAGACCGTGATACTAGTGTTTTTTTGTGCTTGAAATTAAAATATTTTATTTATTTATTTTTATGAATAAAAATACTTACTATTTCATCTGGAGAAAGTATTCCAAATTGAACCCTCTTCACAGAACGAAGAGGGGCTTTGGAATCGGACGTCGCCATTTTGAATGTATACGAATTGAAAACTTATTAACATGAGCGCATGTGCGTAAAAAACATTATTTCGAGCGGGAAAATATAATATAACCTATATATTTTAGTGTCACTAGAATTTTTTATTTCAAACAATTGATTAAAAGTAAAAAATTTAAGAGAAATATACTTTTTTCATGACTTTTACTTTATTTCCTCATTTCATATTTTACTTAACTTATTTAGTCATATTTTACGATATTTAGTTTTTTAGATTAAACTTAAATTTTTTTTTAAAATTATACCCAAAATACTTTTTACACCAATAAAAAAAGAATTTCATTGATCGAGTTATTTATTTTTATAAAATTTTAATAAGAAAGGAAAAATTTTAATTTTGGCTTTTATGCTTCTCCAAAAAATAAAACATTATTATTTAAAAAATTTTTATGTGCAGCCCAATGCATTGATTGTAAAATTACAATGATAGTGATGATAAATCATTTATTCTAAAATTTTGATTTAAAATCTTTATTTTTCTTATAATATTAAAATAAATATGTCTTATTTAATTAGATTAACTATGTATATTTCTGAGAGTAAAAAAAAACGTTGCAATTTTTTAAGAAAAAACTTCTAGAATAAAACATGTCCGCCATCAGTGAGTATTTTTTTTTTAAAGAAAACGGTTATTATTTAATGTTAACAGTGACAAAATCGTACTTTTTGTTTATATTAATAAATAATTACGATAGAAAACAAAGAAAATAAATGCATTAATTTGTCTATTGTAAAAAACTAGGTTCTTTTTAGAAGTAAAATACATAGTTGATTGTTGAAGATAATTTGATGGGTCCTTTTTATTTTCTTGAGTGTTGCGTACCGTAGCACCTGGTGGCTCACTCTTGCGCTTTCATACTTTGAGGAATTTCTTCAAGTTGGTTGAGTCAATTCAGTTTCGAATTGACCTTTCTTATTTACGTGAAGAGAAAAAGTTTTTAACGTTTTATACTTTTACAATTATTTATTTATTTGTGTGTTATTGTTGATATTTTATTTTATTTTTTATTTTTTCCAAAAAAAAAAATTGATAGCTGGAATTAATGAATTGGATATTTCAAAAATCATAGCAAAGGTAAAAGATTCATTTCTTATTTTTAATTATTATAACCGACATTTTGTTTTCAAAAAAATAAGATTAATTTATTGAAGTAAAACAAAACAACAAAATTAAACGAAAAAAAAGTGGATTCAGGTAATTTTATATCTGTGAATATTCTAGGAAGCATTATCAATATTATTTTCAGGTTGTATACTTAGTATAAAAGGTTTTAATGGGTCATATGGTATTATTAAAATCTGTAGTGCCCACTTTATTAACCAATTTGTATCTCTGTCGTAAAAAAAAAAAAATTTGTCATTTATATTTTTTCAATGAATTGTCTTTAAAAAAAAAATAGGAGACTATAGGTAGTTATAATAAATACTAAGGTTTTGTGAACGAGTGAATGGCCTGCGAGTTGACCCCCGAAGCATACGAATTCAGTCCCACCCAAGTAAAAACCTACCGTGTATACCTGTAACCGACAAATCGCTGCCTACGTCACCTTTTATTTCTTGTGTAAAAATATTTGGAATTTTAACGTTCCAATCCGGAGAATTTGATTGAGTTATAATTTGGGGTCATTTCAAATTTTCAACTTTCTTTTGATGATTAATTTTTTTGGAAGACTTTTTAAAAAATAATGAGATATCAAATATAATAATAATTTTTCAAAAATTTTTGACTTACCATTGTTTACAGTTCATATTTGACAAAAAAAATTAATTTCTCAATTAAGAAAAATTTATTATTTTAGTAGAACAACTACTTTTTTTTTTTACAAAAACATCCATTTAAAAAAAATACAAGTATTATTTGGTTGACTGATTATTCTACTATATAATGAGTGTTTTTTAATTTAAACAACAATTAATTTTAAAAAAAAAAAAATTTCTTTTGATTGCCAAGTAATTTTATTTAGTGAAAATACAATTTAAAGAAAATTTTTGTACTGATATATTTTGTTAGAATGTATGGAAAAACCGACTTAACAGATTTGCAATACAAGAAATTAGTCATTCACATTATCATTGACAATTTTCATAGTTTTTTACATGAAAAAAAAAAAAAAATTAAAAAATTGGTGATTAGGTTTTTTTTTTTTTTTTTTTTTTCAAAACTTTTTATCATTGATTCTTACGCTTTTGTTAATTACCTTAAATAAACAATTTTTAAACTGTATATTTAAATAAATTTTACTTTTTTATATTAAAATCTTACAATTGACATGAGATTATTTTACTTTTGAAATAAAAAATGCATAAAAATAAACTTTTAAAAAATTTCTAACAGGATCAATAGTAGTATTAAGGATACTAGTATTTTTCATTTATTCTAAATATTATTTTCAATTTGTTTTTTAAATAAAAATTTAAAAAAAACTTTTTCAAAACTTTTGGAAAATGCAACATTGTTTGTCAATGTTGTAATAATTGTTTATATAAAAAATTCTTTTAAAAAAACTTTTATTTTATTTTTACAAAATTAACATTTAATAGGAATTTTTTAAAAGTATAAATTGTATTACATTATTATTATTAATATGCTCTTAATTCTTAAAAAATAATTGAATCCATCATTAAGTTTTACACATAATCAATAATGAAAATTTTTGGAAACAATTAGAAAAGAAAGGTTATTTAGAATGAAAAAAAAACCAAAAAAAAAAAAAAAAACATGTCCTTGTTGTAGTTTTATTGATGTATATTTTATTTAAAAAAAATTTTTAGAAATTTTTTAGAAATTTTTTTTATGAATATATTATTCCAAATAATATTTTGTCAAAGTATATTTTAATTATATGTATATAGAAATAATGTCAAAATGTTTTAAGATATAAAATTAATTATTATTTTTAATAACTTTACAAAATTTATTTTAATTATAATTGAGATAATATAATATCAGTGAATAATAAAAAAAAAAATTATTATTATTGAGTATAATTATAAGGACTAAATTTAATTATTCTGACTGCAAAAAAAAAAAAAAAAAGAAATTAAAAAAGATAAAAGTTTAAACGAATTCAAGTGGAAATTTTATAATAAAATATAATTTGTCTTTTTTTTTTATAAACAATACACGGGTTATTATATATATAATGAAGGAGCAAGATTGCGGTATACCTAGGTTTAACACGACCAGCCAAAAGTGAGTCAAAACAGCAAGTGGAACGAACAACGGTTTTTTTTTTTTCAACTTTCCATGATAGTTTTTTTTTTATCATTTAAACTCAAATAAAAAATGTCTAGTTTAGTATTTTGTTTATTTAAAATTACATAAAATAAATTTTTGAAAAATCAATGAAAATTTTATAGAAATATTCACTCGTTACACAAATATCAAAATATTTTCATTTATTTTTATTATTTTTTTAATAATTTTAATTAAGACATTTTTTTTTTCTTTTATGCAATATCTATTGTTTGGATAAAGATAATTGTAAAGTTTTTTTTAATTTTTCATTCGTTTTAATTATTAATTGACTGACGAGAACATTTACAATGATTAAGAAAAAAAGTTCAAAAGAAAAGAAATTTTTTTATTTTCATGTTTATTTCCTGTGTAACTTTTTATTAATTTCTAGAAAGAAATTATTTATTTATAAATAACTTTATGGTTAACTTTACAGAATATAATATCAATTTAAATTTAAAGCATTTTAAATGAAGGAGTTATCGATATAGAATTATTAGATTACAAAATTTTCCTAAATGGTAGACTTTTCAATTTAAAAAAATTTTCTTTTGTTTAAGGAGTATTTGAATTCTTAACAACATTCTCAGGCTTATAAATAACTGAAATAAATTTATCAAAAACAAAACTAAGTACTATTGTATAAATTTTTTAATTTTTATTTAATTAAACCTTGACTTATGTTTCCCTTTCACTTTTTCATTTGATTCATCAACAAGCAATCACTAGAAAAAACTGGAAAAAAAAACTAAAAAATTGGTAATTGCAGATTTCTGGTAATTCATGTAAAAGATTATTAATTAAAAAAATAATTAAACCAAAGAAAATTTACAAAATAAAAGTTTATATTAATATAAATAATTAAATTGAAAGAACTTATTTGTTTAAAATATATTCAATTTTAAATTAAAAAATTGGTATCTTTATAAAAATTTAAGAAAGAGAAATTTTTTATAAATGCATTTTTTTTGTTTTCATAGCGTTTGGATAACAAATTATAAAAAAAGATTTTAAAAAAAATACGAATTTATTATGGAATTATTTTCAAATTAATTTTAACTAATAATAATTTTTTTTTATTTTTATTTCAGTTAACAAAAAATGCTCTTAAGGAGCCTCGCGATTGTTTTGATCGCCATCTCAGGATGTGTAAACTTCATATTTGCTCAGGTACGTAGTGATTTCTTATGCCCACCTAAAACCTCATAACATTAATAGAAAATGAAAATATAAAAAAAAAAAAAATTAAATTCATTCATTTTGACAACCTTCTTGGTTAATTTTAAACCCACTAAATAATTTTGAAAGAATATTATTAACAAATTTTTAATAAAAACAAATTTAAAACTCAATTTTTTTTGTTTAAAATAATTTAAATGGCCATTTTCTCTTTAAAAAAAAAAAAAAAAATTCAAATTATATTTAAAATTATTATATTATTATTTTTTTTTTTTTTTTATTTACAGGGATCAAATAATAATTTATTTAACTGTCCAAACGGTGAGTATTATATATTTTCACTTTTACATAACATTTCGTATACATATATATATATAAATTAAAATCGTGGAAGATATTTAGAAAAAATATGACTATTGTTAAAAAATTTTTCAAATTGCACAATTATTCACTTGATTAAAAATTTTTTTTCTTGCTAATGACATAATAATTTATCTTACATAAAAACGTTTCCTGATAGAATAATAAAATTTAATGTGTTGACTTGCTTTTTTAATGTGTGAAAATTTTATATTATTTTCTATTTTCAAATCCCTTTTTTTTTCTTCTAAATAAAAGATTGAATTCAGATTTTTAAAAAAATTGTTCAGTACACAAAAATTGACATCTAATGTAATGTAAAGTTCATCATAATAAAATTAATTTAATATGCAAATAATTTAGATTACATTTAAAAAGTTAAACAAATTAGTTATAACAGTTATTCATATCATACATAATCAAAATATATATGTATAATTGGTTCTTTTTTCATAATAATTAACCGGATATTAAAATCAATTACTAAATAAATCCGTGATTTAATTTTTTTTTTTTTAAAATAACGTTTACACTGCATGGGGGGAAAAAAAAATATTGAGGATGTATATAATATAGTGGTTTTTATTAACCTTAATGCAGTTACCAGTGAGTATTGGACCTTGACACACCTTGTTTTATTGAAAAATATTTAACTTTATATAAAAAAAAAAACTAAAAAAAAAAAGGTTGCCATAAGAATTTAGTAATTAGTCACCGAGTACTTGTAACGGTATACTGGTTCTTCTCATTTATTTCTTTAGGCTCAAAGTTAATCCGTTTAAAAAATTTTTTTTTCATTTTTTTTTTATTCTTGAGCCGAATATAAATTTTATTTTTGATTTAAAGACAGACAGAAGAAGAGATATTTAATCAAAAAAAAAAAAAAAATTAAAAAAAAAAGGTTTTAACACTGAAAAATTTAATAATTTAACCGTTTTCTTAAATCTTTTCAAAACATTTTAGGTTTTGTTTTTTATTTGTTTGATTGAAAAGGAAAAAAAAAAAAAAATTATTAAATACATTTTAATTTATTTTAATTATCAAGGGTAAAAATAATTAATTAAATTTACTTGAACTTGAGGTCTTTAGCCTAATTATATTTATACTTAAATAGATGTCAAGTACTGCAATTTTTATTATTATTATTATTATAACAACAAAATGAAATTTTTAAAAACTGTTACGAGTTTTTAGATTTTTTTTAAACAACACTAAACGTTACATTT